GGGGACTTACAGGGAAAACTTACTTGAGCTCGGCCGGTCACACGCATCACACACCTTGTTCTTTCTCAAAACTCTCTAACTCAGATTTTTGAAAACCATTTTCCTTGTAAAAAAAATCTTTTAATCCATCGTTTTGAGTCCAGACACCCCCGAGGGTGTGTCCGAATCCCTCAAACCAAGGCTCTGATACCAACTTGTAACATCCCAAATTTCAAGCCCAAAAATTTCATTTTTAATTAAGTAATTCACAACATAGTTTACCAAAACATTTCCCATGCCATGTCATTTGTAAAAAGAAACTTAACAATGTGTCTGAAAATCATATCGTCAAAAGTAAAATAAATTAGAGTACATTCCCAGAAAACTCCATGCGGAAACCATGTGTGTGTGTGATACGCTGCTACACCGCCGTCTCCTTCCCCTTAGACGAAGAGGTACCTGAAACCAAAACTAAAACTGTAAGCACAAAGCTTAGTGAGTTCCCCATCATACCACATACCATACAATCACATAGCATACATACTGCCGGATAATTTTGAGGCGCCCGTCCTACCCATGTCAAGCCATTCTGGAGTGCTGACCTACCCATGTCAAGCTATTCTGGGGTGCTGACCTACCCATGTCGAGCCATTCTGGGGTGCTGACCTACCCATGTCGAGCCATTCTGGGGTGCTGACCTACCCATGTCAGGCTATTCTGGGGTGCCGACCTACCCTCCGGTCTTTCAACCGAACATGGGGACTATTTCACCCCTACCACTAACACATAATATCATATCTCAATCATGTTGTCAGACATATCTGGGGTGTCCGACCTACCCGTTGGTCCTAACGACCGATTCGGGGACTAGTCCCCTCCTAGTGATACTAGCTCACATAACAAAGCAACTAGCATACTTCCACACCAAGCAATCTTGCATACTCACATATCCAACAATAACAGACCAGATAAATATCACAAAGATAATCATCCCAACTATCAATCACTAGTGGGCCGACCTTGGTGCCTTAGACCCACTCCTGCTGGAAGGTAACGCACCTTGATGTCGTGTAGTGTCTGAACTGTCCTCGGCGTGAAGGTCGGCTCTCCTCGACCCCTCAATCCCTACACGACAACCCTCAAGTCATCAAACAGAACAAACAACCCTAACCAGGGTCAATACTAAAACCAAGCAAGGTCAACATTGGTCAAAGTCAACACCCAGTTGACCTGACTAACCGAGTTAGTCTACCAACTCGTTGAGTCCGTACTCCACTAACCCGATCCAACCCCGATTCCACTCGTCGAGTCTAGCAAGAACTCGACGGGTTCTCCTTAATTCAAAACATCGGGACCATCTTCATCCGACTCGTCGAGTTCCTCCTTGAACTCGGCGAGTTCATCTCCCTCATAAGAATGTGTCCGGTCTACGACTCGCCGACTTGTATGAAAAACTCGTCGAGTCCATCTTCAAAGATTGGGAGATTGCATTGGACTCGCCGAGCCTGTTCATACACTCGTCGAGTCCCATGATTCCCATGTCCCCTTTCGCGTCTAAACATCCACGGGACTTCCTCCGTAACAACTGGTCCATCCACAGAAAGGATTTGGTGGTCAATACACCGCGACTCGCCGAGTCCCAAGAACAACTCGTCGAGTCCATCCTTGAGCAATACTATAAAGTCGATTTCCATGGGCCTTAACACCTCAAAACCATAGATCTAGCCCCGTAATGTCCATTTCATACGTAAAGTTCCAAACTTGGTATACATGCAAGGGGTCTTTGGCCTAAAAATCCATAAAAGATGGCCCCCATGGTGCATGGGGTGTTCATGGCAACAAAATGGGAACCTTTGTTCCATAAAACCCCCCAATAGACCTGGATCTGAAGCATACACCGACTTCCAACACTAAATCCCGAATACCACCTCTCTAGGGCTTAGAAAGATGAAGGAAAACGCCCAAAAATCAAGATCTATAGACAAAGGTTCAGCTTCATACATCCAATAAGCTGAAAATGAGCTCCAAACTCTGGATCTTCGTGTTTCCCCTTGGTCTCACAAGGTCCTTTCCTCTTCTCAAGCTTCACAACCCACCAAAACGCTCCAAAATGGCCTTAGAACACACAAAAACGGCTAGGGTTTCGTTACACAGCTTTTTGGGAGTGATAAGGGCGATGGAGGCTGAGATAAGGTGTTTAAATAGAGTGTAAACCCTCAGTTTTAAGGTTTCACTCAACCAGCACCTACTCGCCGAGTCAGTATTTCGACTCGTCGAGTAGGTCACTTAAACTGTTCGCAGATCTGGACTCTACTCGACGAGTTGGGCCTCCAACTCGTCGAGTCCCAGGGAAAAACACAAGAAATGCTTGAATTAACTGCGTACCAGGAATCGGGTGTTACAACATGATTTGTGTTATCCTGGTTCATGATGGGTTTGGATTTAATGAAGATTTTTGGGGCGTGCTTTTATGCTCATGTAACACTCGGATTTAGGTATGTTACCTTTTAGTCCTTGTGATAATAATTTTATTGCAGTAGAGGTCCCTTTGTACGCTGGGTGTACGTTTTATTTACGCTTAGTGTACATGGGCATGCGAAGTCGGGACAATGAGCCACGTATACGGGGCGTACGTAGCCAGTTACTAAAACCCTAATTTTAGGGCCTGAGCCCTATTTAAGCTCACTTATGACCTTTGGACCCTCACTCTTATCGGCCTCCAGTGCCTTTGAATGTCCCTAAAACCCTAGTTGCCATTGAGAGTGATCTTTGAGCTTGAAATTGACTTTAGTGGCCTTTTTGGTGTGTTTGCAAGAAGAAGAAGTTATTGAGCAAGCCTTGGACATGGTTGAGCTTCAAGTGTAACACTGTGATTTTTCACCCAATTTTTTTATTTTTAAAACATTTATTTAGCAGAATACGTTGCAGAAGACTTATTATGTTTATTTTAAAACATCACCAATGTTACTTTCATGTCAAAACAAACCCATAAAAATTTAAAGTTCACAAAAACATAATGATGAAAACCCAACATGTTCAAATGGTATCATAACTAAAGATACTAAATAAAACTACGAGTGGTTCCCATCCTCACCAAGGCATCATGTCAAGCTATCTGTTCCAATGCACAAAAACCAAGAAGCAAACAACAAGTGTTAGCATAAGCTAAGTGAGTGAAGATAGTACAGTGTCAAGAGAAGCACATATCATAAACGGATTCACACAAAACATCCACACACAGTGAAAGACTCACTAGCAAGACATACAACATCACACCATATAACAAACATAGGTTTAGCTCAATTTATTTTAGTTCTTTAGTTAAAGTTTGTTTTATTAGTTACTCTCATCAACGCTGTTGTAACTAATTTAATCTTGTCGATACACCGTTTAAATAATATATAATATTTTGTTTCTCCGCTTTACATTAATAATTACTCACCACTCACCACTGTAATTATTAAAGTGTTACCTCCTAGTTAGGGTCTATTTATTCACTGCAAAAACCCGTAAAGCAAGACCCCGTTCACTACTAACGTGACCGGCACGACCAAATGCACTAAGTGAGGTGCGACTCTCACCCGTAATCATTTCTCCCGGTGCGCTGCATTCGCTACTCCGAGTGTGCACATACGAATACATGCGTTGTCGTTCAGGATTGGTACAAGCGGTGCCAATTCCAACAGATGCACCTCCCAAATCCAACGTGATGTTTGCGCCAGCTTTCCTCGTAGAGCTAACATCACTCCAGTTCACCTATCTTTAGCTGAACCATGTGTCAGAATGGTCATCTAGAATAACCATCCGACTGGCTTTCATCGTAGAGCCAACATTAACAGACTTTCCTCGTAGAGTCATCCCTAACAGACTATCCTCGTTGAGCCGACACTACTTGGCTATCCTCGTAGAGCCAACACCTATTGGCTTTCCTCGTAGAGCCAACCTTAGTTGGCTACCCTGACGAGCCAACACTAATTGACTTTCCTCATGCAGCCAACACTACCCTTCGCCCTGCTAGTGTATTCCCCTTTAATTTAATATTAATTAATTAATTAATTAAGGAGTTACACTTTATACCCTCATCAAGTAATCGTGTAAGTTTTACGAATTTACTTTTATTAACACATTACCTCTTTAAGGGTTCATTCTATGCAAACATGTAATTTTATATAGTTATTACATTTTACATCACACACTACTTTCATTCACAACACTTCTATAAAGATAATACAACACTAGCATGCTTGTCCTAAAACGTTTTAAACAAATATTTTTCAACAAGAATTAACATGTTCACATCACATAAAGTTCATACACTTCTCTCAATCTATCATGTCCCTAGCTCACATCTCACACCAAACAAAGAGGAGTCTAGCATGCAACATCCTAGATACCATTACACATAAAACATTTCAACAATAATGGAATAACAATCAATCATCAAAAGGGGCACATGCATCCTAGATAACTAGGTTCATCCCAATCCAACTAAGATATGAGATACTCCTAACAATGTACTTTTAAAACCACAAGTTGACTCACATTATATTTCTTATAAAGGAACCGCTTCAGACTCGTGTTCTCACAACTCTTTATGATCAACAAATGCCTAAACAATAAATAATGTTTAGTTTAGGATTTTAATGTTTTGAGTTATAATATTTTGAGTAGCAATTCTAACTTCGTAATCTTCATGAATAAGAAAGTTTGATTGTTTCGTATATTGTGTCTCATATAAACATTGGGGATAACTACAGTAAAGTCCCTATATTTTTGCAAAAGTTTCAATAAAGTCCTAATTTTTTTTTTGAATGAAAAAGCCCAATAAGCCGGAAAAAACGGGAAAATTTAGCCCTTATCATCCGGTGACCCTCATTTAGCCGGTTACAAAACTCTACATGGCATCTTAATGGTGACTGTATCGTTGACCTCATTAATTTAGGGTTTTTTAAGAAAACCCCTTTTCTCGTATCCTTTATTCCCGACAAATCGATCGATCGATTCTGCTCGTGTCCTTTGCGATGGATGAAGTATTTGAGCCTGACACAATCGACGTTCAAGTTGATGATTTTGTAAAAACCAAATCAGTTTCAAGATGCAAAGATGAATTCCTTAATGTTCTTTGTGAAGACGGTGATGACGAACCAGTAGAAGGTGAAGGAGAGAATGCTCGAGTGGAAGTAGATGATGAGAAAAACACTGAAGAATCTAGTGATGAAGATGAAATCGTATACTCCATCCATAATCCGAAGGTCAAATGGAATGTGATGAAACAGATTATTGGAGAAAGGTATGAATCTAGACATGAACTGAAATTATGCTTAACAAATTATTCCATCTATAAGGGTTATAAAATTCGTTTCAAGAAGTGTGATAGTGTTAGACTAGTGGCTGTGTGTGCTACTGATCCAGAAAAATGCCCTTTTATGGTTCGTGCTTCATGGATGAGTACTGAAAATTCATTCCATGTGAAAAAGATGAATGATAGGCATACATGTGTTAGTAATTTTAGTAGTTCAAGGCTTATGAATCCAACTTGGTTAGCAAAGTAGTTTGTGAAAGAAATAGTAAGGAAACCAAAGTTAAAATGCAAGGAAATGCAGGCAATAATTCAAAGTAAATTTCATTGCAAGGTGTCATGGTCAAAATGTTATAGATCAAGGTGTAGGGCACTGTCCTTAATTGATGGCAATTTGAGTGACCATTATGCAAGAGTGTGGGATTATGGACATGAATTGATGAGGTCCAATCCAGGTAGCACAGTTAGGATTTCTGTTAATATTAACCCTGATCAGACTACAACTTTTCATAGAATATATGTGTGCTTTAAAGCAATCAAAGATGGGTGGAAGATAGGATGTCGTAGGGTTATAGGGTTGGATGGGTGTTTTTTGAAGGGACAATGTAAGGGTGAGCTACTAACAGCAATAGGTAGAGATGCAAATAATCAAATTTACCCTATAACACAGGCTGGTGTGGAGGTTGAAAACAAGGTTAATTGGAAATGGTTTTTGGAACTAGTTAGTGAAGATGTTTCATTGGATGCTGGCAGGGGATTATGTGTCATTAGTGATCAACACAAGGTAATGATAGGTTCATTTAATTCATATCATCTATTATAGTTTTTAATAACAGTTACTAATATATTTTTTCATTTCCTAGGGTCTTGTTGAAGCAACAAAGGAAATTTTACCCAATGTAGAGCACATACAATGTGCTAGGCATATTTATACCAATTTTAGGAAAGTGTATAGTGGGATACAATTCAGAAACATGTTTTGGGCAGCTCCAAAATCCATAACATAAGGTAATTTCAAGATAAACATGGATATGATCAAGACTTTAAGTGAAGGTGCATATGATCATCTTATGGCTAGAGAACCTCATACATGGTGCAGAGCATTTTTTGGTAGTGGTTTGGCATGTGGGTCTGTAGAGAATGGGATAGCTGAGTGTTTTAATGCAGTCATTGTAGATGCTAGAAAAAAGCCTCTTTTGGCTATGCTTGAAGAAATAAGACTCTACATGATGAAAAGGTTCTACAACTTAAGAGAGGAAGCACAGAAACTAGAAGGTGATGTGTGTGAAGTAGCCCTTCTAAAGATGGAGGAATTTGCTGAGGTTATAAGGTATATTTTGTATTTCGTATATAAATGTAGCTTTTTAATTGACTGTTATTACCTTTATAATAACCTAAATGTTTATATTTGCAGGACTTGGTATGCAGTGCCAAGTGGTGTTAATTCATATGAAATTAGGAATGGCTTTCAAAGTTATGGAGTTGATTTGGAACACCATTATTGCAGCTGCAGACTGTGGGAGATAGCAGGGATACCTTGTGTGCATGCACAAGTAGCAATCTTATACACCAACCAAGATCCAAAGAAATTCATTAGCACTTGGTTTAGTAAGAGTAATTACATGGCTACATATCAGTCTAACATACTTCCAGTCAATGGAAGTAACTTGTGGGAAGAAACTGGCTATACCAAGCCCCTTCCACCTACAGCTAGGAGGATGCCAGGACGACCCAGTGTCAAAAGAAGGAGACATGTCTCTGAGCATGAAGACAAGTACCCCCAAGTGTCTTCAAAGGGAAGAACTGTACAGTGCAAGAATTGTCTTCAAAGGGGACATAATAAAGCTTCTTGCAAAAATCCAAAGGTTGTACCTGAGCCAAAACCTAAAAATAAAATGGGCAGACCCAAATTGGATCCTGATTTAACTAACTGGACAGGATCTAGAAGAAGTGATAGAGGTGGGGGTAGTGGATCTGGTAGAAGAGGGAAGAGAGGTGGTGGTAGGGGATCTAGAGGAAGAGGCAACAGAGGTAGAGAGAATACAAAATTTGGTGAGGGAACTTCTAATCTTGATGAAGAAAATGTGGTGACTCCTAATGTTGAGAGTGATAATGAATAGGCAAGAGATGTGGAGAGTCCTGAAGTTAATGATAAAATAAGAGTGGATGTAAAGAGTGATATTGATTTCATGAGACGGTCGAATTACACTACACAAGAGATTTTGGATTGTCTTGGAATCAATGACGAAGAATTATATGAATTTGAGGGTCTAAAACATGTACCTGTGGAGCTTGATATATCACAGGTATGGTTTAGAAAATAATTTTAGTTTATTGTGTTTAGTATGCCTAACCATATATTGATATGGTTGTTGCAGGGTTTTGAATTTCCTAGCCAATTGACTGTATAGGAGGGAATCAATGAGAATGACATCAATCAGGATGGAATGGGTGTATAAGGGATGGATTAGGAGGGAATCAATGAGAATGGAATGGGTGTACAAGAGATAGAGCAGGAGGGCCTGGTTGTGGAGGACATGGGCAGGAGGCCAAAACTGAGAAAGATGAAGACTTCAAAGAGGATAACAAAAATATAATTGAAGAAGGTGGTGGTTGTCAAAAATAGGAAGGGGATGAGTTCATCCAACCCACTTAGTCTAGATTACGGTGTTTCTAACCCATGCTTTTGTGAAGAAAATGTACAAACTTTTGGCTTTGGGCAACTGTTGATAGACCCTTTTGTTGATAGCCCCTTTTGTTGATAGCCATATAAAGTATAGGCTTTGGGCCCCTTGATTATGTTTTAGGCATTTACACAACTAGCCATTCAAACATTTGGCTTTCGTTTATATTACATGTTCTATTATAAACATGGTTAATGCATCTTTAACTTGATTAACTTGTGTATGTTTATGTTGTGTTTGATTTGATTCTATTGTGTATGTTAATGTGGTGATTGATTACATTGTTAAGTTAACTGGAATTCCAACCATGTTTGATTCCAACCATACTTGATTCCGGTCATGCATGATTCCAGTCATAAATGATTCCAATCATTATTGATTCCATTGTTTGTTAATGATTCCATTGTTTGTTACTGATTCCATTCCGGTCATGCATGATTCCAACCATTGTTTATTGATTCAATTCATTAATGATTTCATTCATGTTTCATTCCATTGATTGTTTATCCATTTTATTTAGTCATGATTACATTGGAATCACTTATACATAAACTAGTTAATTCACACATAAACATAAACTTGTTAATTCATTTCACTTGACAAAAGGAGACAACATAATACATACAAAACACACCAATTAAGACACCAAAACACTACTTTCCATACATCTTCTGTCTATCCTACAAATCCTTCAACATCACCAACACAAAAACAAAAGAAACCATGAACACATAAAAAAAAAGATTTCAATTTTCCACCTTCTTGTCCATTCTGGACTTGAATGACCACTCCTTCCATGGGTTGATTTGCCACTGGTGGTTGTGCCACTGGTTGTTCCACAATGTCCTAAAAAAAGTTCCCTTTAACTTGTTGTTCATAATCCCCGAAAATTGCATTGTTCTCCAAATTAACATTGTTGTTAAATTCTAGTAAGAGATTTGCATACCACTGATTTGGTAGAGGATGATCCACCCAATGGAAGAATTTGCAGTCTTTAAGTACATCCTGGTAATTTGGGCAACCTATAAACCTTCTTCCTGGGTTAAACGGAGTCCACAAAGTCCATTTTCCAACGGGATCACCGCAATAGCACCTGCTTCTCAGTCGATTCATCACTCTTCGATTTGAACTTCTGCTTCCTACAGAAGATGAAGACGACATTTGCGGCTCCTCCTCCTGCTGCGATTTTTGCCTGGTCCGATTTTAGGGCACGAACGAATGAATGATGTATATATTTAAGTTTCGTTAAGTGACTCACCATCCACCTAAGCATGCCCAGTCCACGTAGACTTTTGTAACCGGCTAAATGAGGGTCACCGGATGATAAGGGCTAAATCGTTCGGTTTTTCCGGTTTATGGGGCTTTTTCATTCAAAAAAAAAAAATTTAGGACTTTATTGAAACTTTTGCAAAAATATAGGGACTTTACTGTAGTTATCCCTATAAACATTATCAATAACAATCCAATAACTTAATTAATTACATAAGGTGATGAATCTCTTAATCTAAAATAACTAAACCCCATGATATACTATATTAATACCTCATGGACATTCTTCAACCACGTTTACAAATGGTATTCATTTATTTTCATCACCTTGTGCAATATGGTGAGGACACCATAATAAACTAAATAAACATTATATATGATCTTAAATTTGTATCAAGAAGCATACCTTATGTACAGAGGAGTAGAGGACCAACAGGTTTTGTTCTCCAGTACATCTACTTAAGAATATTAAATTCCTCATGCACTGTACACCCTTCAAGCAAACATTGTGTTTATATCTCTTTTCTTTGCTGAAAAAGAAGTATGACCCCATCTGAATTCAATGTCTTGTGTGCATGGAACCATATGAAACCTCACCTCCACTCACGGTTTTATTTTTATTTTTGCAAACGATTGAATAGCGAAGTGATATCTCACGGTGTCAATGGTCCAAATCACCATCGCCTCTACCCTCTCGTCATTGCATTGGTTAGCACATCATTACCCCATCGGAACTCGGTCATGAATCTGAACCGTATAGTGGTATAGGCATCAAAAAATGTTATTGAGTATCCGACGTGTGATTGACCCGTGAAACACATTTGGATCGCACTATTGCTTAAAACCTTCATCGGATCTCACAACCCAACGTTTATGAAGATCTTGTGTTTGTCGGGAACCATGAAACTATCCACGAATGGTGTACGACCAGAAAACACCACGAAAACGCTATGTGTCGGAATCCTAGATCGCCGGAACGTAGACGGAGCATCCCCGTGCGAACTCCACACCCTCATCCTTCTCTCTCTCTCTCTCTCTCTCTCTCTCTCTCTCTCTCTCTCTCTCTCTCTCTCTCTTCATTTTTTTTCTGATCGACGCAAGGCACAAATAACAGCAAAAACCGATGGATCAGTTGAATCGGCATCTTGATTGCACACTTAAGCGGAAGGGACAAAAACGGCAAATGCATTAATCTGTTAACGTAATCTATGGATGATTTAATGGACAAATTATGCAAATATAATCCCTCCATTTTTGATCTTGAACCCTTTTTACCCTATCGATAAGTAAGATGACATTT